AGATGTATGCAAACCTTTCATCTACCCCGTGGGGTAGAGAGGCTATATCTGCAAAGACCCCTACATTAGGCCATGGCCTTAGGGGTTTACTGGTTTGGTACAGAGGCAGGCCCACTATGGTGGGTACGATGGCAAGCGCCACTGCTTCGTTCCTTCCGTCGTAATGTAAATTTTTTAGGGTTATGAAAGGTGCCACCGTATTATTTTGTTGGATGCGACCGTATATTTCTTGAAACTACAATAATAACACAAGTTTCTCTTGGTAGAGTTGGGTGCGACCGTATTATCTACCAAGAGAAGCTTGTGTTATTATTGTAGGATCAAAATCTATTAAATCGCATATGGTATTCTAACTTGATTATATATCACTAAAATTACCAAATAGAGGCACCAGTCACAAGACCAAAATCACGGCATGGAAGTCCCTTGTCCATGCATTTAGAAAAGACGTGGAAAATATTTGCAGAACGTGAGAGAAATCTCCAATTAACGCTATTCATAATCAAGCATCCATCCAAACCCGTAAAAAATTAAGAATCTTCAATTAAACCATTAGTGCATGTAGCTATTTTAACCCAACTATGAAGAACGCCTTTCAAGAATGAAGGAATACAATGATTCTTCAAAACCCAACCATAAAATCAAGTAAACCATGAATCAGAAGTACATAAACCTAAATATGGAAGCAGCATAGAGTAATCAAAGATGCATATAAATCCACTACGATCATCAACATAGAGTAATCCACAAGTGGCAGGGGACGGTCATGAGGTTTTTGATGCCCATGGCGGGAAGCCAAAGAAATGCCCCCAATATATAAAACAGGCAAACAAAACATATTACTTTAGGGGTTTAGAACCTAGTCAAGCGAGGCGGCTAATCCCCATGCTGATTTGATCAAGATGTTTCCAAGGTCTATCTTTATGAAAAATTGTAAAGTCAAAGCACACTGTCTATTGAGACCGCTAATACACACTTCTCTAACACCCAAAGTTTATGGTAACACTTCTCTACAAATACTATTGTAGTGCAAAATCATGTTGGTCTTCATCATTTGTAATGTTTTGCTTATATCACTCTCTTATGTGAGTTTGAAACTTCTAAATTCATCTTCTCTAATGTGGGTTGTATAAGTATCAACCAATATTATAATAGCAATATGTGCATCTTGAACAAACAACAATCAAGTGTTTAAAAATTGAGCCAATGTTACTTACAATTTTGAGTAGTCTGCTAAAAAAGTACTCATGTGGGCAATACAAGGATCATAGCATAAACAATTGAAATTATATATATATATATATATATATATATTATTCCAACAAATCTTGAGAATAATGGCTTATGGCAGTGAGTTTGCAAATCAAGGCAAGTAGTACTTGCAAATGAAACGAAGAATTAGAACCAGAATAAAAAAGGAAGTACACTATTCTGGTCCTCACTCGAAGTATAGTCTCCTAATTGTGCCACTAAAACTGTAGGATCATCTTGATTAGATTAGTAGAAGGGTGATACCCAAGGACCATAATAGATGTTAAAAAATCATGTAATCATACACAGTAAACTCAACCAAAAATCAGAATTGAAAATGTAGTAAACCAAAAATTAAAATTTTACTCATTATTCCTAAATTTACATAGATAATGATTAATGATGTAAACCAGTAATCCTATATACCAATCAAACATCGTCTAATCACAACTTTTAAATTTTTTCTTATTTCTAACAGTTGGCAAATCATGAAATCACAATTTGTCAATTTTTTCTATCACAAATCACAGTTCACAATCTAACTATCTAATAAACTAAGCAAGAAAGAACCAACGAATTAAACATATTCGATATTTCCACTTCTTTTTATCGTCTAAGCAGTAAGCAAGGCACTGAGAATTTGAGAAAGAATACCTGATTAGTGATTAGTAGGCAAGGTCGATTTAGGAGGCAGGGGGCATTTAGGAGCACTGGAGCAGTCGACGATTTAGGGCAGCAAATCACAGATCAGCAATTGGATTTCTTAGAACAGAGCGATTTAGGGCAGCAATCGATTGTATTTAGGGCAGCAGCAGCTTCGATTGAGATATGAGAAGTAAGCGGTGAGAGCAAATCGATTTATCAGGGAGAGAGAACGGTGACTTGTTCGCCCAAAAGAGACGACAATTTTGCAGGAACAAGGCTATTTGGGCGGTTGTTTAATGTTATTTTAATACATTTTAAAATATCTAATTAGGTCAAATACATTTAAAAATATATATTTTATTGTAGTTTTATAATTGGTTTTCAATCAAATACACTTAAAAATTACGTTTTATTATAGTTTGTTAATTAGTTTTCAATCAAATACACTTAAAAATTACGTTTTATTATAGCTTTATAATTGGTTTTCAATCAAATACACTTAAAAAATATGTTTTATTGTAAACTTGTAATTTGATTTTCAATCAAATACACTTAGAAAGCTAGAAATAGATCTAAAAATACATATAAAAGTACATTTTTTTTTTAAACATGGGGTCAATCTTGGGCCGAGCCAGACCTTGTTTTTGGATGAAAACCATAACCAGTCCTTAACCGGCGGTCCCAATCGGTCCTGGTCCTCCGTCAATCACGGGCCGGGCCAGACCCATTTGGCTATCTCTATACCCATGCCCAAAGTCATATTGTATCCGAGTTTCACGGTATTGAAGGTGTCTACAAAATCCTCACCAAGTAACAAATAAATGAAATCGTTGGAAAATATACACAATATCCATTATTTTCAACATACATCTACACATGGTAAGTGGCAAATGAAAAGATTTCCATGTTCGCATACTATTGTTGTTTGAGGGGATAACCCTATTTCCACTGTAAATATGGTATACATTATTGCGACCTATCAAGAACGATGTTATTCGTGTTGTACCACTCTTGCACGTTGATTATCGGTTCGATGCTTGTCGGAAGATGGAAGCAAATTACTCAAAAAAAAATTGTTGGTCGAGATTGAAGGCGTGTAAACCGATTCCGTTACCAGAATGCATATATGTGATAAAACCTTGTAGATGTAGTGTAAGCCACCAGTTGGGTCACCGAAGAAGAATTTGTCCATATGTTGAACCAAGATTCTTATCGATGTGAAATAAGTAATTTTTACTAGAGTAAATTACGGATTTGATCACTACCTTAGACTTTATTTATCGCACAGAACAACAAATGAAATCTAGAGACCACTTTTGTAAAAATTTGCATATCATACAGATCAAATCTGTAATTTACTCTGTTTATTATTCTTGTAATTTGAATTGATGTTTCATGTCATCATTCTTCCTTTTTTGGAAAAAAATTCAGGTAGGATAATAAGGTCTGTAAATTAGAGAAAAACAAACGGTTTGAATTGGATATAATAAGGTCTGTAAACTAAGCAAGCCCTGATCCACCGACACCATTTCATGCCAAAAACCATTTTAATTTTTGACTTTTTGACTTTTTGACTGTCTATTATAGAAAGTGCTGAGATGATAAAAATCATAAAATATTTTAATAATATAACAGATGTTGAAATATTTAATGTAGATAATCTGTTCAAGATGAATGCAATTCTTCTTAAATTTTTTGACTTTTTGACCGTCTATTTTAAAGAAATTATAGAAAATATGTTAAAAATAATATTAATTGTATTTCTAGTTTCTTAGGGGCCGTTTACTAAACGTTTACCCGATAAATATTTGCTTCCTTACCTGATTAACATGACAATAGTCAAGAATCTTGCTCGATAAGAGCAATGATAAAGATGAAGAGTCTTATTCGGTAAGTGAAGGTAACGACTCTTACCCGGATAAGCGCTTACTGGGTAAATTAATTGCATACAATACCATTTTGATGTAGTACAATCTTATCCAGTAAAATAAATTACAGTGTTGACTCTAAGGGTGCGTTTGGTACACAGACATGACAAGACATGACAGGACAGAATATGACAGCTGTTCAGTGTTTGGTAAGACATGACAGAACTGGTTAAAATGACCAATTTACCCCCAGTGAGTTGTTTAGTGTTTTTTTAAAACTAAATAATCAATATAAATGTTAACAAATACGGTGTGCAAAGTATAACTTACATCAAACCACTACTATTTGCAAAAATACATTATTTCATAATCAACTAATGATATATGAAAAAGGTAAATATAATATAAGCATCAAGAATCCATTATCGAAGCAAATCCAGAAAACAAAATAATTCACTTATCACCTGTACAATCACTCCTGTAAGATCAAAATCGAATATTTACTACTCTGATTAAGGGAAAATATACAAAACTCATCGAAAACAACAAATTGCATGCATGAACCTTACGCAATACGTTTGACAGTGATAAAATCAAGAAAACAATTTACGTAATTTATTAAATTATAATAGAATAATTTTTTTTATAACAAAATATATCATTTGAAGTTTTCGTCAAAAAAAATTAAAATGACACAAAATATAAAGTTTATGTGGTTTCTATTTTTATTTTTATCTCTTTTCTACATTATTTTTTATTATTAATATATAATAAATTACATAAATCAATAAAAATATAGAAACCGTATAAAAATAATATTTTGAGGACAGTAAAATAAAAATTTAAGAAACATAAAATACAATAAATAAAATTTAAAGAATGAATAAAATGTAAAAGAGAGACCTACTTAATGTTTTAGAAGAGAATTAAGTTTTATTTTGAGGTTATATTGATAAAATATAAGTCAATTCCACCTTGTTCCACCATGTTCCATAAGGTAGGGATGAAACAGACATGTTCCACTTTATTTTTGTCTGTTCTACATAAAATTTATGCCAACTATGAGACAGAGATCCTTATCCTGTTCCCTTAGTTAAACAATCTCATAAATGCAAAAGTCAAACTTGTATTGTTTGGTTGTAATTGTGTGTTGAGGAAAATGTAAAGACAAATTAAACCCACGTTGCAGTGTTTAAATCCTCTAAACTTAGAGGACTATTTTTGCAATTATACATAAAATTGCCTTTTTCCCTTCAACCAGAACCAAGAACTTGCTATAATCATACACGACACTCGGCCATGGCTACCGTGAACCCCAATTGTTTCTTCTCAACCCACAAAATCTCTCCACCCAAAAAACCCTCATCTTTAACCCCATTCTCCTTCTCCTTCTCTTCGTCTAAATTCTTCACCCGATCAAGAAACGCTCATAGACTATACCCTCTAATCAACTCAATTGCAGAGGACAGAGAGGTGGTTACGGAAGAGATTAGCATCTCCAATATGAATCAAGATGAACAAATTGGAAGTGAATTAGAGTCTAATTCACTCGTTGATGGAATTGGGTCTGAAGGAATCGATAGGTTTGTGGGTAAAGCAATTAATGCTTCTATTGTTCTTGGTGTTGGTACTCTTGCTGTCACTCGGTTGCTCACCATTGATCACGAGTATTGGCATGTGAGTTTTGATTTTTGGTTCTTATTATATGGGTTTCTCTCATCTTAACCAATTGTTGTTGTGTTGAAATTCCCTAGTTTTTATGCAATCCGTTGACCGTACATGATTCCATTTGGGAATAGTTTATGAATTCGTTATGCAGGTATAATCATAATACTACCTTACTCCTAGAGTCCACTTTGACCTTTATTAGTCAAATTTATTAGCTTTTGGCTTCAAATCTGTAAGAGGAATGGAGAAAGAATTGATCACTTCATTAATCTATGATAATAGTTCCCCAACAGAATATATCAACACTGCAGTTTTTGCTACGATGAGCGAGTTTGGATGAATGATTGACATGTAACTTCAAGGATAATAGTCATAGTTGAAATCTTGTTTCAAAATCATTTAGGGCTGTTTTTGTGCAGAATCATTAAGCGGTCAGAATGATTAAGGATATATCTGGTTTTAGAAATTGTGGAGCATCCCAATCTTTAACCGGGGATCTCTTTTCCTTCTTGTTTTTACGTTTCATGATGTTCTCAAAATTTACCATACCTTTGTGCACTAAATGTTCGGTCCATAAAAAGTTTGACGCTTTAAGCTTAAGATCAACTAAAGAATGAGGAAAGTTTAGGTGAATAAATGGTATTTGTCATAGGTTAATGTAAGAAGCTTTAATTTCCATGGAAACCCACATCCGAGAGAGGGCGAAATTATCTTCAACTAAAATATTGATGCACGTGTGGTGGCAATGTACGACGTAACAAGTGTGGCATTTAAACTCAGGACTTCTTGAGGAGATCCTAGCAACTTGGACAAGCTTATCTGTTAAGCTAATTATCTTGTTTTACTTCTGTCATATAGGGATGGACCCTTTACGAGATACTTAGATATGCTCCCGAACACAATTGGATTGCTTATGAAGAAGCCCTTAAAGAAAATCCCGTATTGGCTAAGATGGTGATAAGTGGGATTGTTTACTCCATAGGCGATTGGATTGCACAAGCAAGTTCTTTACGTCCCAATTTCTTGCAAAGTTTTGTTTTTTAACACGTTCTTTCTAGTTTCAGTTGTTTGTAGATGGTTTTTTAAACGAATTTTGCAGTGTGTTGAAGGGAAGCCACTCTTTGAGTTCGATAGGACTCGCTTGTTCCGATCAGGTCTTGTTGGGTTCGCTCTCCATGGATCCCTTTCTCATTTCTATTACCAATTTTGTGAGGTGATACCTCTGTTTTGCTACACATTTTATCAAATCGGTTGATGTTAAGAATGATGTTGCATCTATTTTCAATATCGTATTCGTTATGTTGTTGTAGGCTCTTATTCCTTCCAAAGATTGGTGGGTAGTTCCTGCTAAAATTGCATTTGACCAAACAGCTTGGGCAGCGGTGTGGAACAGCATCTATTTTGTGGCTTTGGGGTTACTGCGCTTGGAGTCTCCTGCGAATATATTCAACGAACTCAAAGCAACATTCTTGCTAATGTTAACAGTAAGAGACCCTTTTTACCATCTAGCATTAAGATTTGATTCTACTGTAGATGGCGTAATCTAGCTAAAAATCGTTTTGTGGGTCCCATTAAGATTTGATTCAACTAAAGAATCCGTTGAAATAGGGCCAAAGATGTCAAATGGCATAGTACTTCGTGTTTGCCTTAGATTGCTAACGTAAATGGCAGTCAAAAACGAACAGGGCATCAATTCAAAGGGTGGTTTTCAAGTTGGTCGTAAAATAACGTGTAATGGAATCTTCAAGCTCATCAACCATCTTTAGTAAGACCAAAAATTCAGCTTTCGTGCTAGATCTGGCTATCAATAACTGTTTCTTGCCCAAGAAAGAAACGATACCCGCGAGTAGACATGATAACGTACGGTGTTATTCCTTTTGCAAAAGATGATATATATTTTGTCTGAATGATACCAACCAGGCTGGATGGAAACTATGGCCATTTGCACATCTGATAACTTATGGTGTCATTCCTGTCGAACAAAGACTTCTTTGGGTGGATTGCGTCGAGCTCATATGGGTAACCATACTCTCAACGTAAGCATCGTTTCTTTTAATCTTGATTCTGCATCATTTACTCGTTACCATATAACTACATCTTCATTTTCAGATATTCCAACGAGAAATCAGAAGCACGAATATCAGATGTAGACTCCAGTTCTCCGTCTAGATGAATCTCCGAGGTATATCTATTCTTACATAATTCGTGAAAAACATGTAGTAATGGCGGGTTGGATGAACCCTTCTCGGTTTAACAAGTCTTAGTGGGGTCTACACAGGCTGTTATCGACCTTCGTGGGCCCCGTTATGTTCAACAAGTCTTGGTGGGGTCTACGTATGCTCACTTATGTCGTATCGTTTTGACTGACGGACAGGAATCACTGAGGGAAGTTATGAAGAAAGATGCAAATATGAGGAGAGATGAATTCATTTGTAAGGTAGCAATTCTTGAAAGGGGGTATGCTATAGTTATAGCAGATTAATAAACGATCTGTATAAGAGACAGTTATTCTGCAAGTAAATGATAGAATGTTTATAATATATGTTACGTAGAATATATAAAAATTGTCGAATCTATGTGTTAAATTGAAAGGAAATAAAACAAAAATTTAGATGATCTAGTCGTGTAAAAGCTATGGCATGGTTAGATACTTTCTATGCATAGAAATGTTCAAATGAGGTTATCCACAAAACACTGGTGTCTGACCAAAGGGTCTTTGAGCAGCGGTACGTGAGTCTTTGGCCTCCTAGGAGGTCAAGGGTTCAAACCTCATCATAGATGAGAAAGTGTGTGAGTTTATTTGTTCTTTTTGCCATGTATAAATATTATATACTTAAAAAAACATTTGTGTGTGTGATATGAAGCTTCTTTTTTTACATACATCTGAATCTTTAAATTCTAACTGTACGTAGATTTTGAAGAAATTTTTTTTTTAAAGCATGGACGGACCTAGGCGTGTGGTATAGGTGGCACGTGCCACCGTATTATTTCTCTGCCGAAGGGTAAAAAAATTAGATTTCGTGAACGGTGCAACCGTATTAATTTGTTGTGTGCCACCGTATGTATTTTGAAACTATAATGAGAACAAGTTTTATTTGGTAAAGTTGGTTTACAAGGCTTTTATTCCACCTCACACCCAAGTTCGGATCCTGTTAGTGTCATTTTCTTAGTCAAATGGTATCACCGTTTGAAACAAAATTCCAATATTTTTTTTCCTTATGGTCAAATGGTGCCACCGTTTGAAAAAATTTCTGGGTTGTCCCTGATTTAAAGATAATCATCTCGATTCAACAAAAGTTATGGTATTATGAACATAGGTTGGTTCTGGTGAGAAGGTTGAGAACAGATCTCCATTTTTTTATCAATTTTAATTGAATGCCAACACTAATAAAATATATCAAGATGTATCAAATCAATTCTATTCTAAAACGTAATTCATGAGTGAGTATGAGATTAAAAATATCAAATGGTTCGGATTTTTTTTATTCTAACTTCCATTCTCACACGATATATGAACACTTGGATCAAATTTTACCAATATTTTTTTAATTATATGTAAAAAAGAAATTCATCTCAAACTTATAAATAGAAAGTTATGGCATTCAAATTTGCTTCTTGAAGTGACAGTTGAATAACCGATTCGTTGCCAAACGGGAAGGAGAGAAAGAGCTACAAAGCAACAATAATCGGTTGCTGAGCAAAATCTTACGAACCCTAGAATGTGATTCGGAAATTTGATTACGTTGAATCGATTCAATGGCAAATCCCCAACCAGTTGATGATCAACATTTCCAGAAGAAAATTAGGAAGAATGATATGCAAACTCGATTCTTTCTCTTCGTAGATTACGTTTTCCTCATCATTTTCTTCTGTTTCCTCGTCTACATTCTCTTCAATCTGTTCACCGTCTGATCAGGTACTCCTTCCTTTCCACTCTCGTTCTAATGCTTCTTGAAAGTTGCATCGTTTTTTTTATATATAATGTTTTCCCAAATCAGTTAACCATATCATTACCAATGGAGATGGACAAGTAGAGCTACAAATCAGTTTAGATGCTAAATCTAGTACCTTTCCTGCTTGTTTAAATACATCTATTAATTGGTTTCCAAATTTATAGAATCCATATCACTTTGGAAGTTGAGAGTTGGTCTATGTATGTGAAAATGTAATTCTTTGTTATGGAATTTAGGATGGAGTGTAATACATTTGGTATTCTTGTCTTTTAAGTGTTTTCATATTAAATTGAAATTTACCAGCACTGCTTTGTCATTTAGTTATCAGTGAGATGATCACAGGTTTTGCAATGATTATCGGACATGAACTTGATCTATTTCTGGAACATGTTTTAGCAAAAACTATGCTAGTTAAATATCATGAGATTGACTACCACTCATTGCACTAGTGGTACTTCAACTACTGACAGGGAAGTAGGGAATGCTGTTTCGAAGCAGATTTCTTATGTAGGACTAATTGATAGGTTGCCACTTCTCTTGTTATCAAGAGTTGAGATCATTCAGCCTCCATGTACGTTAGGTTACAATCACTTCATGTTAACTGGTAGAAATGATGAAGTAAAGTGAACCATTTCTTTGATTTGCATGAACTGTGTTAGCAACACAGAAAAATGCATCTTCCTCGAGGCTATGGATGCTAGGGCATTCAAATTGCTGATCGTGGATATTATAAGTGTGGAACCCACAAAACCCTGCTGGGTAGTTATTGATTTCCCTCTACCTGGAATAACTAGAACTCTTAAACAATCGCTATTTCATATAGGGGTTATTTTATGAAATCCTCACTGAGCTCAATTAGGCTTGCAAACTTGTGTTTCAAGTTCATAATGGATTTAAGAGCCAACTCCTGTCATTATAGGTCAAATTTATCCTAATTTTTGTGTTGCATTTCTCATACTACTTATTAGCTTTTATACCATTTCTGTTTTGTGAATTCTTAAGCTCCAAATTTGCCGTCGCTGGGAACGTATTTTTTGATAGCTCTGTCCATGCCACACTTGCAAAGATTTTGGGATCTGGTCCAAGGCTCCAAGCACCTCAACAAACTGTGAACCGTTGTCCAGCTAGCTATTAGTACTTACCTCATCATTAATCAAGCAGGTTGCCTGAAAATATTCAAGAAAGTTGGTGGGCTGATGTGTACATTGGATGCAAGTAGGAAGTACTTATGATGATTGATACCTTAATCTCAGATTAAATTTTAGAATAGTTTGAGAGCTTACTTCAAAGTAGTTGGTGACCAACTAATGTCCAACCATGTTTTTGTGTATGTATTTGGATATTTCATCTTAAAAACTATTGTTTTGGCAGGTAGCAAAGGCTTTTATACTCATATTCTCCTGGGTACCTTCAGATATTCCCTCTCATCCCCAATTAAACGAGACTTTTTCTCAAAATAATTTTTTTATTGTTTTGGTATGAAATCACCACAATTAACTGTTAAAGTAATATATATTAGAATTGAAATTTATTCTTCAACCGAACATCTAGAAGATACCATTGTGATTGAATTATAAAGACATGTTAGTTACTGTGTGTGGAACTTGATGGAAAACATGTTCTCAACTACACACTTTTGTTTGCTAAAGGTGGTCATAGAGGTTATGAAAAACTGCACAAGTGTTGTTATTTGTTACCGAACTTTCAAACATACAGGAAAAATGATGTAAATATTGCTAAAAATTTGGAAAAACCAAAGTTCTTTCTTTAATTTAGAGCCAAAAGGCTTGTCAAATTTTGGATGGAGCTAGTATAACTCATCTTCCAAGAACAATTCTAACAGCTGAACAGGTTTGATTGACATCAAGTGAGTGGAATGACACAGACCATGTGGTTCCACACAAACACTCACACATATATATGCACGTGTGTGTGTGGATATATACCATTTTACTTACTTGCTTTGAGACAAGAAGTTATGCACACCTCAATATTTTTCTTTATCTTATTAGGTTTCACTTATTTATGTGGTTCATCAAAACTTTTGATTAGACCCCCACAACTTATTATGCAAACAATCAGCAATGCACTATCTCCATTACCAGATCCAGAAAAAGTTATATTTTTTTGTTCAAGAAAAGAAATAGTAAATTCTTAAAATCTTGGATATGAGATATTAGTACTTGTTTCATACCAGGTTTACTTGAGTATATAAACATATTGTTCACCATTTTGTTTTCTCTATGTTTATTTAATGGTGTGCTTATGGGTATACATTTTCATTTACCTGGTCTAGAATTTATTATGACATGTTGGAGATGATAGTTAGTTGGCTAAGCTTATTTTTTCTCATTTTATCTCAGTAATAGTTCTTAATTCTATATAATGCTGGACCCTTGCAACATTAAGGATGAGATAACTGTTTCTGGTCAAGTCATGCCAAGGTAGTATGTGCTGGTGGACTGCTTGAAATGTTAGTAGGATTTCCATTCAATTTCAACAATGTTTCTGAAGTCTGCATACTTTACTGTTTAGCCGCTCCTCTGCATATTAGCAAACAGAAGCAATTGTCAATCACTGCTGAATTATCGGCTTATCCTCTTTTATGTTCTTAAGTACTGTTTATCCTCTCCTCTGCATATTAGCAAACAGAAGCAATTGTCAATCACTGCCGAATTATCGGCTTAACCTCTTTTATGTTCTTATCAATGAATGCATGCTCTTCATTACCTTTCAGTCATATGCTCTTCTTATCAATGTAGACTATTTTGAAGAATCAAATTTATCCAAGGTCTTGTGTGGCTTTGAGTGATCTATCATTACCATCTGTTGGATCATACCTTTTATGTTTGGCAAATTTTTGCTTAAAATTCATACTCAATTAAATACCATTTCTTGCCTTAACCTGCAACTTTTTACTTCAGTTTCTTGAAACTTCCCAGTTCTGACTGAAGGAACTGTTGGGTTTTCTACATAATAATGCAGCGTAAACAAAAACCTTACACACGTGATCCTTAGACCCATATTATGTTGATAGTGAAACAAAATCTATGTATAACTTCATAAGCAATGAGTAACATGTAGTACTACATTGTTGCTACCCAAATAATAAGGAAGTCAGTTACTCGACTTAAACTGGTATGTGACTTGTAAATTAGTGCATTTACCTAGATATCCACAATGAACTCGAGGCATGGAACGCAACACCCTTTTCCTAATTTAATCTTTGTTCACTTGATTATCAGAGAGTAGACTATTGAATACAAATGAGCTCAATATCACATATTTGACTCATTTGATCATGATCATGCATTTGATAGTCTCACTTAATCAAGAGTCCCAAGAATATCCCTTCCATTAAAGGAGGGAAAATTCCATCTATCTCACTAACACCTGTCTGTGTATTTTTACTTATAAGTGACCTTATAATCGAAGTTTCTTAAGAATGATGTCAGATGGCATCAAAGCATTCCACTCGTCTAATGCTAGTAGTGATTTCAGGTCTAAGGACTATACACATCATTATCACCTTGAGAATTGTTTATGACACTCATATAACGTTTCATGTAGCATTCTCAAGGTGGGTTTGTTTGGTAAGCTTTCCTTAACAAATTCCTATATGGACTTGATATCCAATAACCATGACCCATGGCATTTGGTCATTAGTTAACACGCCTGCTAGTCTCTATGTATTATTGTTTGCCCCTATCAATAATAGTTCTTGACTAGGGACATATAAGAATATGATCCATATAGCCGTAGATCTCCTCTTAAAATCACCACTCAAAGTCTTAAGGCTTGGATCAAAGTATTCTAGGGACACTTATCACATGTATGCATGCATTACACATTAATATAAACAACCACAATAAATTAAATGCATTTTTAAATAAAACATAATGTATAACTTGCATATAAGTCATCTACTGATTGGTTACTATGGCAAATGCACGAACAAGAACCACATGCAAATGTGTATTTGTTGGTGTACACATGGCACAGGTATTTTATGAATTGGGGAGGACGAGTAATGTTCAAAGTAAATCAGGATTTCAAACGAATTACCAGTTGATAAATCTTTTATGGAAGACTAATTCTACACTTGTTTCCAATTTCGACATAAAATCCAAAGGGAGATTAGCCATTACCTTTTGTATCTTTAATTGAAGTTCTAAGTTGCCCAAAGTCAAATCCTGCATATAAGATTAAAAGCATCCATCCAATTGAAGACACCTAGTTAATGTACGTCTATGGACATAAAACTTTGCTTTCTGACTGTAATCATCCATGTCTAAGAGAACATGACATATGACATGAATAAGGGATCAGAAGTCTGAAACACATTGGGAGAAGGGGTACTTTGATTAGATTGAGAAAGAGAGAGCTTATGAATTTGTAACAACTTCAATTGAAGTGGTCCATCAGCTTGAGACCCAAACAATGATTCATTTATGATACTCCTGTCTCATAAAAATTCCAAGAATTTCAATTTTGTGACGTCCTATACTTTGTGCTGTTCCTTTTTTGGCAAACTTTTAAGTTAAAATCATCTATTACCCCATTGTCATCATTACTAATTGTTGGTGGTATAATATTCCCTTCATTTTGTCATTACTAAAACTCAAAAGTGTAATTTAGACATTTGACTAACAGTCGAGTACTTATATTAAGCTATTCCCCTGGTCAAACTATGGAATCTTTATGGGATGGTAAGGGAGTATAAAATGCATATACTCTGCTACCAAAGGGGTCTTCTTTAGTCTCTCTTTAGCAGTTGATCCCGGCAGTTGGTCGTGGATTTAGTTAATTTGATCATTGTTTACATAAACTCAATGACGTAGTGACCTGTTCTACCAAAATGTTATATCCATTTCCGTCCATGGTAACAGTTAACTACTGCTCCAATGTTGGATAAAAGCAGATCCATTTTACACTCTGATTCATAAATGGCAGTTTGAGTTTCTGCATATATATATGTGTGTGTATATACATTTTAAGGAATATCTGGGGTAGGACTTTTATGCAATAATCAGCAACTTGATTGGATTGCAATTGATTAAACCCTTCAAAGTAACTAAATTTATTTTGTTCTATCATCTAGTTTCTTATACTGTATTTCAAATTCTTGGCATAAATTTAGATGGTCATCTATCAAAAATTTATATGGTGTAACCTGGAAGCGTATTGGTGGCTTAGTTTGATGACACTTAAATTTAACATTTTATGGAAAACTCCCTTTTTCCTGATCAAGAATTCAAGTTTCATTTCGTTTTATGACTCTTGCTATGATGCACCATAGGCACGTTGGTTGATTTTCATGTGTTCTTTCCAAAACACCTTTTAACCACTGTCTATTAATTTCAAAGAAACCTTTATTAATTAGGAAGGTCAACTAAAGATTATTCTTTATATGCTGCAGAATTCAGGTTCCAAATGTTTGATGATTTACGTGACTGGGCTTCATCAGATTCAGATTTCTCTGATTCTAGGTAAATATGCTTACTCTGGATCAAATATCTGAATTTTTCTGTAGCTGAAATGCATACAGAACTTGGTAAATATGCTTACTCTTTGATCTGATCTTCTTTTTTCTTATAGAGATTATTATTCCAGATGTATTTATTATAGAGAAGAATTAATTGGTAGATTTATAAATTAAAAACCTCAATTAAGATGAGTTGCTTGTTGCTTTTTCACCTTTTAAAGAGTATTTTCAAGTTGTAATTTCCTAGATTTATTACTAAATGTTTATCTAAACATGTAGGTTGCTGCATTTTCATCAATGAAAGCAGTTTGTGGTTGCTTGGAATTTGTTTGTATTCATACTCACCAGGTAAACCACATCAAAATAGAATGTAAATATTATGATTATGAAATGAAACCAAAACAACACAAGACATGAAAACAAGTGAAAAATCGGAAGGATGTAAGACAGCAGGACGAGTGGACCAACATGGATGCTTGTACCTGCAAGTTGTAGCTGCTTTTAAGGATTAATGCATTTTGTCTAGAAAATGATGGTTTTATAGGATGCATTTTTATAGTTGGAGATGGACATTTAGAACTGGTTAAGGTCGGACCGGTTGGTTAGGACCAGTTAAGCCTGGACATTTAGAGGCTTTTCAGGGCCAATTATGAGTTTGCTTAAGAAAAAATTCAACTAGCTTATAGCATTTCATGTAATTACCATTATAGAAATAGTTGATATTTTCCTCTTACCAACTAATTCATGTAAATTTTACAACCATTGATAGAAATAGTTAATGTTTAAAACAACTAGTTAATATATAAGTTAAAAAAAGGGACCGGTTTTGGGGATTCGGGACTGGTCCAAAATGGTTATGATTAGGCCTTGTTTTTGGTCCGGACTAGAGCAGGTACATGAATTTTTAATGAATTTGAAAGTAAATGTATTGAGAACTAAATTTCTATCGACATCGACGGCCGTAACTATAATGGTCCTAAGGTAGTGAAATTTCTTGTTGGTTAAGTTCCAACCCACATGAAAGGCGTAACGGTCTGGGCACTGTCTCGAATTCGAAGAGAGGCTAGGTGAAATAGATACGTCTGTGAAGAAGCGGTTCATGCTTTTGGAGGATGGAACCAGGACTGACAGTTCTATAATACCAAGGGGCCATTTACCAGGCGCTTACCGACAAGAGTGACTACTCTCACTTACCTTATGAAGTAATGTGGCCATCAAAATGGATTGATGGTAAACGTTTATAACCCGGTAAGCGCTTACCAGGTAGAGTCATCACCCTTACTTACCAGGTAAATTTTTCGGTTCTTATTATGTTTATCCAGTAAGGTAATTGAACTAGTAAACGCTTACCAAGGTAAGTGTGTGGTACTGGTAAACGACCCTAAGTATGTTGGATTTGGTTTCAAGACGCTCTCATTTGATGTAAATTTTGTCATACCAATGGGCTAAAGGCTTATTGGAAGGTCTAACATTCTTATTGAATCATGGAAGTACAAAGACAAACAAATTAAACGAACGAAATTATTGTCATATTTCGATGCTCGTTCCTTTCTAGACTTGGATGTATAGAGTTGAGGTTCCTTCAAGGAAACCCGCCACTCCCTTCAGGGCTTGGACCCGGGGCCGATACGTCATCACCATCACGGCCTGGCATATAGCTGCCGCCACCAAAAGTAGGGAGGTCCGGGAATCCATTGTTACTGCCAGTAATAGGATTGTAAGTGAAAGGGTTGAACCCTTTCTTGGACTCGGGGTTAATCCCTCGACCAAGACCCGGGATTAGGTAGCCGCGGTCGTTAGAGAAGAACATATCTGGGTGTTTGATGACGTCATCGGTCGGAATGTATCGGCCACCTGAAGCCATGGTTATTGTTGTGGAGATGAAAAGGGTGAAGATGAGAAGAACAATGAGTTTAGTCATGGTTAAGTTGACTGTAGTTGTGATGATACTGCAAAAGGATGTGTGGCTGTTATATATATGCTTCATTTCCCATGCACACAAAAAATGTCTGAATACAAACCGATCTTTTAGTTGTAAAATATTTGGTAATTAATATATATATTGATGCATGCAACGGTTTGGGAGGCCAATTAAGTTTACATGAATATCAAGTTACATATGCTCCTCAAATACAAGTTGAAATTACGTGTGTAAAATGGTATATATATATATATATATATATATATATATATATATATATATATATATTATATAGACTTCCAATAGTTTTTCGTGAGACCCGTAAGACCAATTCTCAACCCTTGGATTAGATCTATAATCTGAAAATCTAAACATTCATAAACGCCACGAGATTTCTCAATAATCACAAAATTGTCACCGTGCAATTTAGACCGTTAGATCATTAACTTATAAACTTAATCAATGAACATAAATTGGTCTTACAGATCTCACGAAAAACCTTTGGTCTCACGTGAACCCAACCCTATATATATATATATATACACACACACACACTATCTTATAAAGCATTTGGCTAAAACTCTTAAATACTCTTAAACCCGTTCATCCCTAAACGATTTCATTCCTATCCGATTTCATCCCATATCTGAATTCGTGTAACTAACTGCAGATAAACACAATCTAATATAGGATAAACATCTCATTTTAAATATAAAAAATCTAAAATATAATTAGTATAATCATTAAATTCTAACATAATACTTAATTATTATCTTTATAAAATTTATAATATTAAACCAAACATAAATTATATTATTATTAAACTTAAATCATATTATATAAAAAAAATATATATTCTATATTATATAAATCATTTGACAAAAACTCTTAAAAACCATATTTTATGCGTAAAGTACTGTT